ATTAAATATTATATAGCATATATAATACAAAACACCCCCAAAACTTTAACAGTTTAGGAAAATCTTGGGACTAGAAGACAGAAACCACCTCTAAGTATAGCTCCTGTGAGCAGGCCAGCTTCCTGGCTGCTAAAACCACCTTGAACACTTTCTTTCATGATCTCTCTAGTGCTCACTTTCGTGTTTCTTTGCAAATGGCGTTTTATGTATTTAGTGGCCTCCCGTTGTCTATACTGAACCAATATTATTGAAATAATTCAAAACAATAAATATATACAGAAAGGGGGAATAGTCCAATCTGATATTAAGGGAAAATAAGAGAGGAAAAACCCTTCTATTGAAGGAAAATATGAAGAACACAGAGCAGGGGAGATTTGACATTACAAACATCCTTCCTATTAATCTTGAAGGGAACTCACCTTGAGGAGGAGGGGCGTGAGTGGAACATGCAATTCCTAGCTAAGAATCTGGATTTGGACTATCATCTGATCCATTTTCTCTCCTAGACATTTTATTTGATTCATATACTCTGCCTCGCTTATCGAAACTCATTTCCTCTCCTTGAGCATAGCAAGACAAATTTATAAAGTTGTTGCAGGAACTCAGTGAGTTGATTCTCATAAAGTACTTACTCTAATACCTGGTGATATGTGATCTGTAAGTTTTGGAATATTACTCTCAGGCTCAAGTTCTCCAGCTGACCAGCCAGCTTCTGTTCTAGAGTCTTACCAAGCTTGGGACACTTTGAACATTGGAAACATAGCATCAATCCACCTCTCTCCTGCCTGCTTGTTAGGAACCACTTCCCTTTGCTGTGCGATTTCTCTTTGTGTGACGGAAAAGCTGTAGCATCAGAAAACAGACATGTGGATAGATTCTATTGGCACTGTTCTAGAGGGCAAAAGAAGGAACAATGAATCCAGATCTATATATCTCAATGTATATTCCTTGAACAGAGATTCCTACAAGATGCTTGGAAGAAAGCTAGTTCCACTGTCAGGTAAGTTTAGGGTATGCACAATTTCACACTCTTCCCTGTGTTCATGGTGTATACAGGCAAAGGTTCTGAGAAGTCCTGTAGGAAAGGAACTCATCTAATTGTTCAGCCACGAGTTCCTCTCACTTGCTTTCCCATGCAGACCTGTCTTGGTACATAGTCTATTACCATTATTCAGAATCAGGGTTCTTTGTGAGTCTGGGAAGAGCAGGTGTGTAGTATTAGGGTGCTAAGGGAAAATCCGTGGAGAAAGCTGTCTGTGAGAATGTGGCATCTGATGACATGCCCGGGTTTGCAGGTTCCTTTTCTGTGAAATGACTAGATCGGAGACCTGTAGACTTTAACACACAGAACAATGTTTTACAGTTAAGCCTCAAGGTCAAATGCATTCATTCATAAAAAGAGGCTCCGGTGGAGTTGCTGCTGTGGGCTTGGCTGCTGTCTATGTGGCTTCCCTCCCAGAGAATTTGATGGAAGGTCTTCTCAGAGGTGTGAGGCCTTCAGGAAAACCATTGAAGAGATCGTCCAACATCCTTCCTATGGCTATTTTTGACTTTTATTTCAGACGGATGTTCCCTGTCCTGAAGATTAGTGTCACAGGACTGGACCCCAATGCCATGTACTCTCTTCTGTTGGACTTTGTCCCAACTGACAGTCACCGCTGGAAGTATGTGAATGGGGAATGGGTACCGGCAGGCAAGCCAGAGATCTCTAGCCACAGCTGTGTCTACATTCACCCCGACTCCCCCAACTTTGGGGCTCACTGGATGAAAGCTCCCATCTCCTTCAGCAAAGTGAAGCTGACCAACAAGCTCAATGGAGGCGGGCAGGTATGTGTGGCCTCCCCACACACCAATCAAGAAATATCAAGGGTGCATTTAGGCAATTAGAGGGGTCCTCACCAGCCTCTTCTCCCCCAGAAGCCAATTATTCCCTGGAGTCCAAATGTAAACAGGAATAAACAGCTCTTAATTGGTGCTTTCAGTTTTTAATGGACTTCCTGATGTTAAGAGAGAGGCAGAGTGCAGCAGCTTACCTAATCATCGGGCTCTTTTCTGTTTTGTCTTGTGTGTGGTGCTTTTTACCCAGCCCAGGGAGAGAGATGCTCGTGGGTACCAGGTTTTTGTTATTTTCTCTCCCCATTTTTTGGTATAAGTGGCATGTTGGCAATAGACAAATACCTTAATAAAAAGCTGCTCCTAAATGAAATAATTACTTCCTCTGCTTGGGCATTATGATAATTATCAATAGAATATTGCGTTAGTTTTTTTTCAGAAAAAAATAATCCAAACAAACCTTAAATAAGGAAGGTTTTATTTAAAGTCTCCAATTAGAGCAAACATGATTTGGGTTTTTTTTTTCCCCCCTCTTGTTTCTGTAGTGGGATTGTGAATTCTAGTTCCATGTGTAAAGTTGTTAGTTGGTTTATACAATGTAAACTGGGTATATTGGAGACAAGGATGGGAGGAAAGGGTCCAGTTATCTCCTCAGTCCCTCTATTTGGCTTTATTTGCTCTTCGTCTGTGCCTTTTCCTTTCTCTCTGTGCTAAGCTGGTGGGAGCATGGGGGCTCATGTTTTAGGGGGTATGGGCAATGCCTCCCCAGGTTTTGTGATAGCCAGAGTGTTCCAGTTTTTTTTAAAATGGGAATTTAAAAATAAGTTGTACTACTACCAGATCTCAGAGCATAAGGCTTTCAGTAACCTTTGATTTGAATCATGAAGAGTAGATGATGGATCATTAACATCAACATTAATCATTAACATTTTGAATTACTAGGATTCTTCCTATGAGAACAAACATATGTTTTAATGGATTGAAATGCACATTGTTGTGCTGACCATAGAAGAAGCACAAAAATGGAAGATCAGATTTGGGTGGAACACAGAAAATTTAAGAAAGCTTCTTTGAGCATCGCCTTTTGACACCCTGTAATGCTTGGTGGAGCTTTTGAAAACATTCCCATTCATTTTTCAGAGGTACAGTGGCAGCTCAGGTGACGAGGATTCCACATACATGCCCTTAGCTGGGCCAGGTGCCAGACTTGGGATTAACCCAAGGTGTTGGCCAGCTGACCAACTGTGATACACCAAGATTGTCTTTGTTTCCTTTCTTTCCCCACTTCAACAGATAATGCTGAATTCTCTGCATAAATATGAACCCCAGGTTCACATAGTACGTGTTGGAGGTGCCCACCGAATGGTCATGAACTGTTCCTTCCCTGAAACCCAGTTCATAGCTGTGACTGCCTATCAGAATGAGGAGGTAAGTGTGCATGCACGTGTGTGTGTGTGTGCACGTGTGTGGGTGCATATGCATGTGTATGTGTTTGTGTGTGTGCATGTGTATGTGTGTGTATGCTTGTGTGTGTGTGTGTGTGTGTGTGTGTGTGTGTTTGAATGTCACTTTGGAGAGCATGACAGAATGGGTGGGAAGTCTTTTTTTTGCTATGAGCAAGACTAGATGAAATGTAAACGTCTAGGATTCAGCTACTCTCAGCAGTGATAACGTTGAAATAACAGGTATAGTGGCTCTTCACTCCCTTCTGTTTGTTTCCAAAGGCCCGTGTGTTAGTCAGCTTTCTGTCATTAGTACAAATGCATGAGATAACCAGCTTGTTAATAAAAAGGGTTTCCTGTGTCTTACAAAGGCTCCAGTCCAAGTCCAAGTGCCCTCTTTGATTTTGGGTCTGAGGGGAGGCACACATTGTAGCAGGTACACATGGTTGAATAAAACCACTCACTTCATTGTTGGGGGACCCTGCTCCTAAGGTTGCAGTCCACCATGTCCAGATAGCTTTAAGGGGCTTAGCGCTATATAGAAGGACTCCCTTTCGCAGCGGGGACCTCCTGCTCTCTGCCTGACTTACCTGGAAAGTGCCACCAAGCACAGATGCCTGACCTTATTTGGAACATGACCTTTGGCATAGTTACCTGCAATAAAACTGCCCCCAGGTTTTTTCTATATGATAATTAGGCATTGCCCTATAGTTGGATGATAGGACCCCCCTACCACATATAAATAAAGCATACTATGATCACCTATCAGCTGAAGCTTTGGCTGCTGCCTCCACACTATATTTTCCCTGACCCCCACTGAATAAACGGTGCTGTATCACTGAATCTGACTCCCCAGAAGGTCTCTTCTGTTGTGCTCACTAGCAGTCCTGAACCCATGCTTCTGCTCCCTTTGTCCTTGTGGATTGGTGGCCAACGGCCCTTGAGGGAAGGGAGAGACACACATTTCATGACCAGGGAGCAAAACAAGTCCCCAAATCCCCTTTGAGGATGCGTCCGGTTACCTGGAGACCTCCTGCTGGGCCCCACCTCCTGAAGGCTCCACCCCTTCCCAGTGGCACCACTGTGGGGCCAAGTCTTTACCATATGGGTCTTTGGGTCACACTCGAGATCCAAATTCTAACAACTCACCCAAGCTGCCTCTCCATGTGCCAACAAGACACAACTGCATGCTGTTTTAAAATTCCCGAGTTCTGTTGGAACTCTGGAGTCTTTGTTTTGGGTCTTTGATGTGTGCTCAATCTGTAGCAAGCTGGATGTGTTTGGGAAGAGCGTGGATGGGTAGGGTAGCCAGCAACTTCTCTCCTGCTCTGGAAGCAAGTCTGTAAGGTTGGTCCAAATGTGTGCTCTCCTTTGGCGTTTGCTGAACTATCTGTCCTGTTTGCTGGTTTTTACTATCTGAGCACAGTCAGGTCTTTTCCTGTTCAGTAGCTTGAACCCTGGCTGAGTTGTCAGAATTCTGAGCCTAGCCTCTCTGTGAACTGCTTTGGGTTCATCCTATTCTCAAGGGGTTCCCAGTCCTGCTGATTATCAGGGACAACTGGGATGCACTGGATTCTTTTCAGTTAAACTTCAAAAAGTAAAGGCAGAATAGACTCTTTTTTTCTTTAAAACACACACTGAACTGATAGCACCGAAGTATGCAAAGTAAACATGAAAAAACCAAAAGCAAAAAATGTGCTTTCTTGCCTTTGGAATCTCACTCTTTATGGACACTTATAATAACTGGCTTTGAATTGTGTTTTTCTACACATTTCCACACTATAATCTATAAATATATCTGAGCAAATAGGTTTTCCCATGTAATTTGACTCATCCTATAAGCATTTGTTTGAAAATCTTTCTTTCACAATTTGACAGTGAAGAATGGTTCTTTTCCTATGCAATTATATTTAGGTGTTATCTCTTTTCCTGTAATGCTTGCAGTAATTGATTGTATGGATATGTCACGTTCTAGGTAACCAGGCCACATCCCCAAGTGGAATTTAGGTTATTGTCAGTTGTTTTCTATTCTATTATAAATCATGCTCTGTGAATCTTGTTTGCTTGCATGGGTGAACATTTAGAAATGAAGTTGTTCTGTTAAGAGGAATGCATGCCAAGTTGTCTCCCTCAAAAGGGCATCTCATAGATAGCCCCCCATACCTTTATCAACATAGAAGTAACCTTTTTTTTTTTTTTAAATGGAACCTCTGTGATTTGTATACAATATTATTTGATGGTATTTAGATCCCCTCCCCTAGCCTCCCCTCCCCTTATTGCCCCCCACCCAATTTAATGCACTCTACTATATGTATAACAAGGGTCATAAAGTCTAATTTGTGTTCCCAAATGTCCATCTGTGTGAGTCCATCCACTGATGCCTGGTTAACCTACCAAGATCTTGGCCCATCTTTAAAAGAGACTGTCTCTGCCCCTCCCAGCAGCCATCAGTTGCCACAATTTCCTTAGGTTGGGCTGGAGTTTGTGACCCCACTTTCTCATGTCTTTGGTGGGATTTTGTGTGGTTTGAGCTTGTCTGGGACTTGTGCATGCTGTTACCACTGCTGTGACATCAAGTAACTTACCAACTGTCTGGAAGACTGTTTCCTTGAGGTCATCCACCATCTCTGACTCTTACAATCTTTCTGCCCTCTCTTCCACAAGGATCCCTGAGCCTTGGGAGGCAGAAGTTTGATATAGGTGTTCTATTCAAGGATAAGTGCTCTACAGTCTCTTGTTCTCTGCACATTGGCCAGTTGTGGGTTTCTTGTTAATCACCATCTGCTGCATAAGGAAACTTCTCTGTTGAGAATTGAGAGATGTACTAATCTATGGGTAACAAGAAGTCATTAGGAATCAGTTTAATACAATAACTATTTAGTAGAAAAGTAGTATTAAATTCTCCCCTGTGTTCTGTGACCTGTCTAGCTTCAGGTTCCTAAGCCTGATATTAATGTCAGATATGGATCCATTCTATGAAGCTGACCTTAATTAAATCCAATTAAAGAGTGGTTGATTACTCCCATAATATTTGGAAGTAACCTTTTTGAAAAATCTATGGACAATCTGATAGGTTAAAAATTGATAACTTCTTGCTTTAATCTGCATTTCTTTTTAAAAATTTTATTTATTTTTATTTTATGTGTATGAGTTAAGTTATGTTGCATGTGTGTAAGTGCACCCATGTCATGAAATGCTCATGAAGGACAGACAAGGGCATTGGATCCCCCGGCACTACAGTTACAGATGGTCGTTAGCCACCATATGTGTGCTGGGATTTGAACCTGGGTCTTCTGTAAGAACAGCTAGTGCTCTTAACCACTGAGCCATCTCTCCAGATCCAGTCTGCATTTAAAGTAGAAACTCCAAAAGAGCCAGGCACCACACTCAGCATCTCGAGGGACAATGCCCAGACTCTTCAGTGTTTCTTCTCCCCTGAAGGGTCCTGGTGATCATTAGGTTGGAAATTACTATCTCAGGTGAAATGAGGTTGTAGATCTAGCTCAGGGCATGTGTGCAGAGAAAATGCAGCTGCTTCTCTGTAGCGCAATTCAGCCTCTTGGTGGAAGCCTTGTAGTAGGCCAGCCCTCAGCTGGTGACCCTCAGCCCTCAGCCCTCAGCCCCTCAGCTAGCCTCCTTTTCTCCATGTCTTTCTTTGATGGAGTTTGGGTCCAGCAGGGAGGGAGTGGCTTTTGCATATCTATGAAGTGTCCCGCCTTTCTAGTGTCCACACAGTGGCCCCTGCCCATCTGTATGCTGCTTGCTGTCCTAGTCACTGGCCCTTGCCATTCAGCTACTGACTGGGAGATGCTCAGCTTTTCCTGGCTGCAGGTGATAGATTTTTTTTCTTTGAACCACCTGTCTGGCTCTGGTGACCCTTGTAACCCTTCCAGCAAATTCCCTAACCTGACTTAGTCACTCCCAGAGCATTGAACATGACCCATGGAGATCAAACTGTGTAAAATCTAACCACAGGGAGCTGGAAAGATGACTCAGTGGTTAAGAGCACTGACTGCTCTTGCAGAGGAGACGGGTTCAATTCCTAGAATCCACATGGCAGCTAACAACTGTCTATAACCCCACTTCTAGGGGATCTGATGCCCTCTTCTGACCTTTGTGGCATTGTATGTTGTGGGTGCACTTACATACATGCAGTCAATACACTCAAACATAAAATAAAAATAATAAAGTATTAAAAAAATCTAACCACAGAGCCCCCTTCTTGTCCCTAAGTTTTCCCTGCAAGGTGAGTGGGTGTGGGGCTGGCCAAGAGAGGCCCAAATCTCTTTTGCACAGGCTGCTAACTAACTTCACTCACTTACCAACCCACCTCTTCAGATTTGAGGATTTGAGTCAAAGAAAGACCAGGGCTCCTGACTCCACACTTCTCTTAGCACTTGGGAAAGAAAGAACTGTGTTTTTTTTTTTTTTTTAAACTTTTCTTCCTTTCCCCAGAGGGTCCTAAGTTCTTGCTGACATAAATAATTTGCTCAATATTTCTTTAAAAATATTTGTTGGATAGTGCTACATGCTGGCTATTCTCATAGATGCTGGGGATACTGCAATGAATGAAATAATAAATATACTGCAGTGGTATGAACATTGTCCTCAAGCCATTTAGATTCCAGTTGGCGGGAGATGAAAACAAACCTTCTTTCTCTGCCTGGGTCTCTCTCTGTCTCTCTAGCTCTGCGCCCATTGTAGCTCTGGTGCTGTCTTTGTGTGTGTCTCTGTGTCTGTCTCTATAGTTATGACAGATGGCACTGATGAGAAATAAAGCAGACTAAGGTCAATCAAGCTTTGCATTTTCATTTATCTTCATGAATGTCTAATATTTCCTTTTCATTTTAAAGGCTATAGCTTAATGGACAGATGCATATAATAATATATCACAAGAATCTGTTCTGTTGACTAAATAAATTTTGATGGTATAGAGAGACAGCGGGTGGAAATAAATGATAATGTGTTTGCACTGGCACTGCCCAGTGGGTAGGGGATTATGTAAGAATGAGGGAATTGATGCTCAACTGTACACTCTGAGAGAGGTGGGATCATGCCAGAACTATACCCTCCACTGTGTTCCAAGTGATAGGAAATGTGTGGTAAGGACTCAATGATTCTTGAAAAACAAAGAAAAATGAGTAAAAAAGGAAGACGGGCAGGGTTAGCACAACAGAGATCTGGTCATTCCCAGTGCTTTGCCTTTTCTTCCCTCACTTTGCATATCATTTGACATTTTCCCCTCAGGCCACCATGAAATGTCCTTTGTCAGGCTATGCAATAGTGATTCAATACAGGAGGGAACAAAGAAACACTGGGAGGGAGGAGAACAGGAAAGAGGGAATTACTATGATTCGCAGAAATTCACAAGTGAGGACAAAGGGCTCTGCACAAGTGTGCTCACTTTTCTACTGACACTTCTTGTCTTTGAAAGATCACAGCTCTCAAAATCAAGCACAACCCCTTCGCCAAGGCCTTCCTGGATGCCAAGGAAAGGTGAGTACAGGGAAACTGCGATGAGGCCTTTCTTCTGAGCCTAGTTCTGCAAATGGGCGTTTTGTGACTGTCTTGAAGGGAGCTAGCACATACAGAGTTGCCTACAGTTGTAACATGTTGCAATGTTCAGTTGAACGTCGACCAAAGGCAACAAAATTCAACCCAAATCACAGTTTGTTCCTATAGCAGGTCCTATGGGTCCAGGAGAACCTGCAGCTGGCAGAATTTCATCAGTCTTGTTTTACTGTGGTTTCTTTAATATTTTAAAATATTTTTTATTTATAATTTTTATTTTATGTATATGAATGTGTTGCTTGCATGTAAGTGTACCTGTCATGCAATGCCCGAGGAGGCCAAAAGAGGGTGTTGGATTTGCTGGAACTGGAGTTAAGTATGGTATTAACTGCCATGTGGCTATGTGGGTGCTAGGAACTGAACCCTGGTCTTTTGGAAGAGCAGCCAGTGCTTTTAACTGCTGAGCCATTATCTCTCCAGCACTTTTTTTTTTTTTTTTTTTTTTTTTGAGGCAGGATTTATGTAGCCCAGGTTGCCCTTGAACTTGCTATATAGCTGAGGATGACCCTGAACTTCTCTTTCTACCTCCACTTCCCAAGTGCTGGGGTTACATGTGTGCACCACCATGCCTTGTTTAATGAGGTGCTGGGGACGTCATGCATGCTAGGCAAGTACTCTACCAACTAAACTACAACCTCCAGTCCAGGAATATGGTTTTATGTTTTTTCCCCCTTTTCTTCAGACAGCATCTCTCTATGTAGCCCAAGCTGACCTTGAAGTCACCCTCCTGCTGCCTCTGGCCCTGGACTACTGGGATTATGGTATGTTATCACCATACCTGGCTTTCCATTTTTTTCAGAGCTACCCTTATTGTAGAAAAAGTGAATAGGGGTGGGAAGCGTCTATTTCTCAAGTGTGAGAAAAGAAGTTAGAGACTTCTGGGGTGTGAATGGTGATCTCCCACACTGGGCCAGTGTCTTGCCATCTCCCCATCTTTCCTCTTCGTTAGAGAACAAAATGGAATACAGTAATGGGTATCATACACATTTCTGCCCATACTGCCTGAAGAATAAATAGGGTTACCTTTGAGGTACTCAGCTATTACTGCCCAAGTTTCAAAGCTTAGCTTTTTAGCTGTCTAATCTTTCCTTTTCATTTTGAAGGGTGTGGGTTAATGGACAGACATTTAGAATGATATGTTACAGGAATATGTCCTGTTTAATACTTGAATGCATTTTGATGATGTAGACAACATACTTAGGTAAGATTTTCAGAGAACTGAAGTCCTAAAGAACAAGCTGATCTGTGAGGTGACAGAGTCTAGATCAAAGTGATAGTAGCTTGTTCTGATAAAAAGCATTCAGAAATCTGCACTACTTCTCTCAGAGGTCATTGGTGGATCTTGAACATCACATATGGAATTGTGTCCCAAAGTCTTATGCAAATCTTAGCTGCTCTTATTATTGCCTGAATCTTATGATCACTAAGTAATAAGATCAAAGTAAATAGTGATAGCTGTAAATATGGCAATAAAGGAAAAAGTAAAACTGCCTCGACTCAGAGCAGTGGCACAGTGGGAACAGTGCCCTGGAGGGAGGAGAATCAGGGAGGATGGTAGCTTTGAGGGTTCTCATTCTAAGACATGGATGGGTTGCTCTCTGCAGAGAATTTGGGCAGTGCTTTATGCTAGAGTATAGTGTAAATTGCACCTCTCATCACTCTTTCAGAAATCACCTGAAGGACATCCCGGAGGCTGTCTCTGAGAGCCAGCACGTGGCCTATTCTCACTGTGAGTTGGATGAACAGTACCTGGGAGGCATGTGGGGCTACAGGGGGAGTCTCTCTTCACGCTCATCTTGCTGTCACAACTGCTTAGGGCCTAGTCCACCCCAAGGTTTATTTCTTCCACCCAAGTCAGGTTTATGCCCTTTCCAGAGTTCCCAGAGAGTGCTCCTAGGCTGAAGGGGCCTAAACGAGTTTATATAGGACACATGAATGGAAAGAACACATTTCTTACATTCCAGTTTTCATGAGAATAAAGCTAAGAGCTCTGTGGTGAGCATTTTGGGCTTATTTTTTGCTCCACTTGCTTCTCTATTATGGATTTTCCTTTTTCTTAGTATTTGCTGATGTTGGAGTTGGTCCCCACTTTAGTGCCTCAGTGAACTGTGCCCTCACATGTCAGGAAAGGGCTGTATTTGTTGACTGGAGGGCAACAGGGAGAGTGAGCATAGCACCTGGGATTCTGACAGTGTTCGGAGACTCTAGTAGTACCATTCTCTACATGTCCCAGTGTGGTATAGGCCTTATGGAGAAGCAAGCCCCCCAAACCTGTAACAGTAGCCCAAGGCTGGTGACATTGGAGAGGAAAAGTTAACCCTCAGACACACTCTTTAATTCAGATTCTAGTGGATTGCCAAGAAGGAGCCCTGCTGTCACTGCAAAGCTGTGGAATTCTTCACTCCATCCTTCCAGAAACCCTGAAGGCATCGTCTATGCCCAATGTGTAGTATAGCCACATAGAGCAGCAGCTTACAGGAAGGCATTTTTTAAAGTGACTTGGAGTCTGGTGCTGGTTTTTTTAGGGTTAGAGTCACATGGAGAACCACATATCCTCAGTGTTCATGAGTTGTAATGTTCTCAGCAAACATCTTGAAGTGGGGAACTAAGTGGTCTGGGGGCCTCAGGCCTGGGTTTACCTATTGGACACCGGTATCTTAATTCTATTCATCAAGTGGGGAAGTTTTAATTTTTTTTTTCTCTTAAGTTTCTATAACTTTTGGTCTAAGAAAGTAACATAGAGGGGGGAAAGTAACAGAGGGGGGAAAAGCTGTAAATTATAAATGTGCAAAAACATGAGAGCCATACTGAAAAAAAACGAGACTCCCAGGAAGTGCTACGTGGTTGAAGCTTAAATAGCATGCTGAGCTAAAGAAAGGGCCTTGAGGCTGCTGGGGAGGGGGTGGGGAGATGGTGATACCGATGTGGAAGGGTGAGAGGAACAAGTTGTCTTGTCCTACAGGTAGAGTTGTGTAAAGAATTCGTTGCACCCTGTGAAAATCTCTTGGGCAGGTTTAGTAAGGAGAGCCCCAGGGAAAGCCTGTTTACAACTGCTGCTGACTTCTGCCACACATGCAAATCTTTCCTACAAAAGATAGCTTCTCAGAGCTATCCCTGTGTAGAAACCCCTGAGTAGCCAGCCATCTTGGAACATGCTGAAGGAGTATATATCTTGGGGTGGTCTATTTTGATCTCCCTCATCAGATGGGGACCCCTGGTGTTCACACAGCAGTGGGAATATGAAGATGACAAAAGGCTTTCTCAGGAATGATTAAACCTTCATGTTGTAATGAATGCCATCTAACTTGTATACATTTGATAAATTTTAACCAAGAAGAATGGGTTCTGATACCCAGCTCCATTTTCATGTTGCTGAGATCCAGGCAACAATCCTCAGTCATTGTCTTAAGGAGCAGCTGTGGTCCTGTCTAGATCTAGTGAGATCTGATGGGAGGGCAGGAGGCTTACTTCAGGGTTCACATTGCTAAGTCTTAGTTTTGCCTAGGAGCTCACTTGAAGGAGGGTTTTCTGATCAGAATCGTTACCAACAACTTCTATGAAGTATTTTTCAGCTTTCCAAAAAATTCACCAAAAGGCTTGTGAAAAATTAGCTCCTCAATTTCTTGTGCAGGCTGTTGATGGAGGCATCACTTTCCCTCTGGGTAGAAAGAGAGAGGCCTTCACTCCTGTGTAATCACATAAGTCACAGTAACTGTAGGTCAGTGAGTTACATATACACCTAACATTTCCTAGACTAATGTCTACTTTAATGAATCCAGCAGTGACTTGAATTTTGTCACCTGATTTCGGTGTGGATGTCTTTGTGCTTTCTTCTTGTTTATTCTAGTGGGAGGCTGGTTCTTTTCCAATCCGGATGGAGTGTGTGCAGCAGGAAACACCAATTACCAGTATGCTGCCCCTTTGCCTCTGCCTGCTCCCCACACCCACCATGGCTGTGAGCACTACTCTGGCCTCAGAGGCCATCGGCAGACTCCCTACCCTTCTGCATACATGCATAGAAACCATTCTCCCTCAGGTGTGTGGCTCTGCTAATTAAACCCTTGGGCATGCGGGTGGGAGGGGTGGGAGAGTGAAATGGATACACAGATGGTAAAAAGAAGTACCTGGCCGGGCGTGGTGGCGCACGCCTTTAATCCCAGCACTTGGGAGGCAAAGGCAGGAGGATCTCTATGAGTTCAAGGCGGGCCTGGTCTACATAGTGAGTTCCAGGACAGCTGGGGCTACAGGGAGAGCCTGTCTCAAAAAAGACAAAAACACAAAAAAACCTGAAGATCGAACTTCTATCAAACCTCTTTCACCTAATGTATATAACATATATAGCATATATTATTATTTATTTTATATTCTAATATTTGACGGCATAATTTCAGTCTCCTGATTTTTTTCTGTGGTGCTGAGAATTGATCATCCCAGGGTCTTGTGCACGTTAGGCAAGTTCTTCCACTGGGCTATACCTCCAGCCCAGTCTCCTGGGTACCGTGAAAGGCCTTGGACCAGGGTCCTGGTATACTGACTAGCTTCAGGCTGATGTCTAAAGCCAAGTCAAGTCCTAGGGTCCGAGACATTCAGTGTATCGCCTCCCATGGCTCTCCTATCTCTACATTAGAAGCTCAGTCCAGGCAACATTGGGTTCAGCACAGGAGGATTGTTAGGAAGCCTCTGGGGGTACTGTGCCTTGTCCGTTGAGGCTTTTGAATTGGAGTCCTGCAAACTCTAGCTCTGTAATTTTCTGGGCTATTTTGTTGTAATTGGCTCTATTATTTGTCAACTTTTTTTCCTTACTGACTGCTGTCTTGTCCACCTTTTCCTTGTGCA